GTTTCAAGGCATAAGTATAATGCAGATCAATCGAAGAGTGACCTACTGTGTCTGACTGTGCAGGATTAAGCATTGTGCTGGGAGCACTGATGAGGCTCAAGAGCTGGGCATTTCTCCACTGATCAGCTGAAAGGTTCCGACGAGGATAGACCATTTGAAGTGAGATTAGGGCATCTGAAAGAGCCTAGAGCACAAATTAATAGTGAATCGAGACACACATTTTAAAAACTGATAATAAATAACATTTGAATCTAATATCACGGTACTTTCAAGCATCCAATGGTACTCATGTTTCAGAAATCCATAGCAAAACTTGAACACTGACTCCAATTTGCATGCTACAAGATAGCATGTAAAATACACCCTGCTGTTTTTAAATGCCTGTACATCCAGTGCGCCAACAAGCTAAGCCTGCATCAAAACAGCTGTGATGGGATACAGTAAATTCACATTCTATCTCTGGCTGAAAAAACAAAACAAAACAGTATTACTTCTTGCTATTTATTACCAAGGCTTATACATCAGTCCAAGTATAATTGACTCTAAATGGCTTGCACTTCCATACTCTATAACAAGATTAAAAACAAAATACATTCAATGAATCATCATCTTCTCATATGCAAAGAGCCAAAATCCGATTAAAACAGATATTCCTCCTGCAGGAAAGAGAGAGACTCACAACACACCAGCCTCTGTAGCCTTCTTGAAAAGCCATACATATTAGCTTTCTAAAATACCAAGTGGGTTGGGGCTAATCAGATTTTGAGGGGGGGGGGGCAAAAACACAGCTCACCCCCACAGCCCTTGCAATGAAAGAATAATCAGTTCATAAGTCTTCCCTCCGAATCTTATTCAGCTGCCAAATCATGAAGCATTTTAAAGTACTTTGAATTGCACTGGCAGCCATCCCATGCAGCTCTGAAAGAACAGGCAATGGATAATGGGCAATCAAGTGGCATCCATAACTAGCTAAGCTGTTGCATTTTGGACTGCCTCTACTATCTAGGTACCTTTAAGGGCATGAAAAGTGCATTGCATTACTGTAGTTGAAAAGTAGCCAAGGCACCTTAACTATGAGGAGGACTTGATTCAGCAAAGGCCATAGCCAGACACAAGATGAGAAGGCCCTCCTCACTGCAGCTACCTCTTGTTCTTCAAGTCAAATCAGTAAATCTAGGACAGGGGTCTTCAAACTTGGCCACCTTAAGACTTGTGGACTTCAATTTCCAGAATTCCTCAGCCAGCCATGCTGGCTGAGGAACTCTGGGAGTTGAACTCCACAAGTCTTAAAGGAGCCAAGTTTGGAGACCTCTGATCTAGGAGGAACTGCAGACGATGAAGAACTAAAGAACTAAAGAAAGAATATACATATGGATTCTGAACCCCAAAGCCATTCCACCTTTCTGGAACTGAGCCTGCTTTTTCGCCATCTAGACATTAATAACTTCCAGGCCTTAGATCAGGATTCCAATTGGCAGGGGTGGTGATGGGATAATATTCAACTGAGAATCTTGTGTCAGCTCCATACAGTAGAACAGACTAAGAAGAGTGTAACAGTATCAGGTCCAGTGGTATTCCACAACAGAACACCCTAGGCCTTGACTTCTTCCACCACTATTGACCGGAATTGTCCCCTTAGGAAAAAAGATCACTATGTATTCTCAACACTCAGACACACTGCAAAGTGATACCATAATCAATGATACTGAAGGCCACTGAGAGATCAAGCCAAATTGTGAGGGTTGCACTCCCTCTATTCCAGTCTTGCCACAGCTCACTAACAAGGGAGATCAATGTGGTCTTGAAACCATATCCAAGCATGAAACAGCCCAAAAAGTGTCCAAATAATCTTTTTTTATCCAGGCCCCTCTGCAACTGCAGGCCTATCTTCTCAACAATCTAAACAGGTGTTTTGAGCTGTACTGAATTAAGTTATGTATGAAGAATGTAGTAAGTAGATAAAAAGAGCCAACTGGAGACACAAGAGCGACGTTCTACACCTGACATAACTTAAATGTAGCACTAAACCTATCTGCACATTGACTTTGTCTATCTGTACCTCCCTGGAGGCTTTCACCAACCAGGAAAGGAAAGAATCCAAGGTTCAGTTGCCAAAGTTGATGCCACAGAAAATTGAATCAATTTCCTCAGATCCTGGCTCAAACTCTTATCACATAAGGCGTAATTCTGGTCACTTCTATAGCATTTGTGTAGCAGACCTGCAATTTCCAACTAATCTGAGTGCTTTTATTTCCCAATTCTCACAGCAGCCCAAAAAATGCTATTCTGACTTACTCTTTCTGGCCTTTTTGAACTGGACATCTGGGTGGCAATCCATACAATAAGAGTGGAGACATACTATCATTTTGCCACTCTTACAGCCACAGTGTAGGCTTGAACCTATGTTCTTACCAATGTTTGATCAGATTCACTCTTGTTTTTTTGTCAGCATTGCTCTATGCATCTCTCCAGCCCATTCACCTGCCGGAGCTCCTCAATAAACTTAATATTTCCCCTAGATCAGGGGTGTCAAACTGCCGGCCCATGGGCCGGACGCATCATGAGGAAACCGCACCCACCCCATTGCCGGCAATGGGGAAAAAGTTCTGATATGTCGCGTGACATCACATGACGTCGCAAGTTTGACATGTCTGCTCTAGATCAACTGACAAGGAGAGGCCACTCAGGTACAATCCTGTCTACGCCTGCAGTTGTTTCCATAGTAAATAACCAAGGCCTCTCCATAACTGTCTTCCAGGGCTTCAGTAAATTATCCAAGAACCCTCTGGAAACCAGACGATCCATTAGACATCTGAGGCAGACCAAATGAATAGACTCATTCATTTGCAAAGATTGGTAGTACTAGTTAACGCCATAGCAATCAAAGAGTAGTTCTGTCTATAACAAAGGACAGTTAATACCCTCCATTCTCAATTCATACTGCATCTACTTTTGAGACACAAATGAAATCTAGGAGAGAGCCCAACTGCTTCCAATTCCTAGGATGACCTATTAAGGTACGACACCACCAGGAGCAATCAGAACCAAATGGTTCACCTACTCAATCCTCTGCTCTCTCCAGGCCATTAACTCATTCCTCTTGTACTCCACCAACATCTTTGGTTACCTTACCCTGTCCAGTACTCAAAGCCAGGGCTTGGCATCACACAACTCCCAAATCTCACTTAACATCTCTGTTCCATCACAAATACACTTCTATTTACTTTCATTACCTTTTATTGTTCCTTTTCGCAAAGCTACTGCTTGAAGCCAGTTTATTTTAAAAAAAGCAGAGAGCTTTTTAAAATACTGACAAATGGTGATAGATATTAGAAGCTTTAAAAGCCATTTGGTTACTGGCTAACATGATCATATCATCTTGTTCATAAAGGATGAAACTACTTACTATAAATTCAATCCAAATATACAGCAGAGAATCTTTAACAGAGCTTTATAGAACGCAGGGAAAGTGAGTTTTATTTCCCTTTTGTTTTATAGTTCCTTCAAGATTCATTCTATTAACTCTGATTAATTTAAACATTCCTTTTCACATGCTTGCAAATGATTACCATCGCCATGCATATTTGCATGCAGTAAGAAAGTGAAATTATGAATGTCATATTTTTACCAGAATGTAAAATTCTTCTTTAATGGGACTACTGCAAGCATAGTCTAGGACAGTGATGGCAAACCTTTTAGAGACCGAGTGCCCAAACTGCAACCCAAAACCCACGTATGCATCTTTGAGTGCCAGGTGGGTGTGGCCCATTGGCTGGGTGTGGCCAATTGGGTGGGCATGGCTGCAGTGGTAACGGCAGACTGGGTGGGACTAAAAAGTTCAATCAATCAATTCCAACTTTGCAAGGACTTTTTTTTTCCTGCGAGAAGTTGAAATTGACTGATTGAACCTTTTTTTTTTTGCACATGGCGGTGGAGGCCTAAAGCAAAAAGGTTTTATAAAACCCAGCTGAAGCCTAGGACTGGGGCGACGACGCGCGTGCCCACAGAGAGGGCTCTGAGTGCCGCCTCTGGCACCCGTGCCATAGGTTCGCCACCACTGGTCTAGGAGGTGAAAACTCTGTGTCCCAAAGTATTAAACATAATTCTTTATATATATATTATATTTTTGAGAATAGTGAGAAAATGTGGTAAGCATATACGATACCAAAAGGGATAATGAAGGTTAAAATATTGAATTAGATAATGACTATGAAATGTTGGTTATATTCCAAGACTTAATAAGTGACTGAACACTATCTCACTATACAAATTCAGAAGTCAGGGAAAAAGCATAGAGAAATCACAATAATATAGCAATTTACAAATTTTGCTTACAAGGGAAAGATAAAAAGTTTTTATCTATTTATGCAACTAGCCTAATTAACAATCTAATTATTTTTAAATCATTAATGAAAATAGTGACAGGCACATTATAAAGCACTTAACTGAATTTTAAAAATACATACCGTATTTTCCGGCGTATAAGACGACTTTCTAAACCCTGAAAATCTTCTCAAAAGTCGGGGGTCGTCTTATACGCCCAGTCGTCTTATACGCCGGAAAATACGGGTATTCTATTTTATTCCTTTACACATGTGGTTTGGCATATTACTCATCAAGTTTTCTCTCCCCCCCCTCTCTCACTCAAACTCTATATTTTAACTGGAAAAGTTGGGGGTCGTCTTATACGCCCAGTCGTCTTATACGCCGGAAAATACGGTACATGCTCATTTCAGCAAACAGAAACATTCACACCTACTTTACTGTGTGGTACAAATTCTTCCATCATTTTCTTCAATGGGTTCTCATAATCCACAATCATCTGGCCAAGACGTGGGTACTCTCTATCACTGAAAGCAAAAGAAGAATTCAGTGTAAAAATACTTGTGCAAAATGAATGAGGTCCCCGAAGGCCCCCCAGTGTATCAGATACCTTGCTCCATGCGTCATTTCATGAGCATAGTTGTACAATCCTATGATGGCTTTCCGTTCTTCAATCCGAGACAGCAATATCATTAATGTTGTGTAGGTTATGATTAAGTCTAGATAGTTCTTTGTTAAATCAAAGTTTACGGTCTGAAATTAAAATACAAGGAGAGCTATTTTTTAAAAAAAATTATGCCAAATGTATTAATTCACTGATTAAACAATGCACACTTTTTTCCAGCAGATTACTCGTATCACATTCAAATTTTTATTCTTCTTGCAATTTTTCCATGCCCATTGACCCTGGTGTCTGTGACTAATATAGGCCCAACATCTGGACCTCTCAGATTTGGTCCGACTTATTAATTTGTCCCAGCCAAAATCCTCTATGTGAGCTCACCCAATAAAACAATTGTCAAATGTCTTGAAAATACATTTTTGGGTTCCAGAGGTAAAAGTAGTTAGTGACAAAATATAAAGTTCTCTCAGTAGCTGATATCCTAATTCTCTATCCTCTTCCTGACAAACCAGTGTACTGTTGCATGGAACAGTCAGAGAAGTAGGATTTTTGAGATGTGATAGTTTGGGGGGGGATTTGGGGGAAATTTAAAAGAAATTTTTTTAAAAACATATATTAACCCTATTAATTTATTAAAACTATTCACCAATGGCCTTGTTTTGCCAAAAATGTTTAAAGACCCCATATTGAACAGATATTCCTGATCCGGCATTATTTAATAGTAATTTAAGCAGATGAACCACAGTGATTTGATGTATGAACCCTATGGCCTGTTTTCAATCTTTTAAGAATCTAAGAAACAGGTCCAGCTTGATATAACTACAACAATACAACCCTGATATTCCCTAGTAATGTTTCTATCTTAATTGCTTGAAAGATTCATTTTTTTCAGACTTACAATATCAAAGAAGACTTGGCAAACATCAATAGTATTCAGTAGTTCACAGACATGATCCTTTGAAATAAAAAGGGAAAGAAAGGTATGATTGTTAATTACACCACAACATTTTACAGTAACAAAGAATTTATGATAGGCTATATATAATTTTCAAAGTAACATCATAGTGAATGATTTAATCTAAAACTTAATAGGAACTTTTAGCTACAAGCTATCGAGCCTCTCAAGAAAGTTAATCTATACTTAGATCTTTACCTTAAATTCCATAACATCAACAAAAGTGAAGTAATATAAAGCCAGATTCTTCAGAATTTCTGATTTCTCTTTCTGCAGCTGAGCTAGCTGTTGCTGTAAATTAAAGAATATATATATATATTTAGACATATACACAGACCGTACTTTTTTTGCACAAGCAATAGTTTAGTTTTGGGAAATTAAGAAATCATATTGCAATAATCAGGTTTTCCATAATTTTTTTACTGATGATTTTACCATATAATTAATATCAAGTTGCATTTTATAGAAATTTTACAAAAATCAATAAATAGCAGGATGCAGTCTTTTCTGCTGTAAGCTCAGTGGAGTTCTCCCCCTGTGAATACACACATCTACCATAAGGCTGGCAGTTAGGGAAGCAAGAGGGTGAACGTGGACAGAATACCTAAATCAACCAGATTACTTCAAGGAAATGTCTATACTTTAACCATTGTGTGTGGCTTTTTATTTTTAAGACCAAACTAGCATGAATTGGAATTTGAAAAGGTTAATTATTGATATTTTTATTTCTATCTACTTATGCACAGACCATGGTTAAAGAGCAATGCCAAGTCAGGAAAGGAGATGGCACCATGTGCGTATCTGTTAACCAGTGTGATTGGCTAACACGTCACGTAAATTAGATCTTTGTTTCTTTGCTTGAAATCTCTCACCAAACTGAAGTGTTGAGATCAGAGCACGAACTATGTGTGTATATAAGCAAGCCAGCCACCCATTCCAAATAATGAATAGCTCTCTGTGATACACAAGTGTGTGCACACATTTCATGAGCAAAGGTATGCACACACATAAAAAAAGAGGACTCCACTGGGCTCTTTGCAATATTTTCATGAGAGCTAGCTGAGAATGATTCTAACCATATTTTTATTATCTTTAATTAGTCCTGGTTACTGGGTATAATTAGTAGTCGTTAGTACAGAAACTGTGACATAGGCACAGAAGATCTAAATATGAAATTAAGTGTTATGTATTGGTTATACAGATAATTAGCCAAAGCAAAACCATCTATGAGCACAAATCAGCATGATGAAAAGAAGGACAGGTTTCTTGATGTGGGAAAAGTAGGTGGGTAACAGAGTTTACAGATTTACTACAGAAAAACAATACACTTTTAAAATTCAGAACTTACCAAAAAGAATATCCAGGCAAAGCCACGTTAAGCATGCAAAATAAAATGTAGATACAAACATAAAATACGGTAACGGTTCTTTAACCAGGCCAATATAACACAATATACATTGAAAACACAAGCAACAAAAGAAACAAAGATGAAAAAAGAAGCAAGAGGCTAGCATGTTAAGACATTGGTGAAGGTATGGAAGAGCAAAATATGAAAACAAGAGTATTCAGTGAACATAGGCTTTCACACAGTATTTTCCAGCAATATTCGTGTTACATACGCTACATACATTACACTCTGGGTGCTATGATAAAAGCAATAATTTCCTTCACACTGAGCTTCATGAACAGTGTCATAGATTTGAAATTGTATCTATAATATGCTATTTCATTGAAGATGGGAAGCAACAGTATTCTGAGAGAAATGATATGTTCTTTTTGAGAGATGGTCTTAAGACAGGTCAATATATGAGGGAAATACACTTTTTCAATCCGTTCACAAAAGTCAAATAGAATTTTATCGTTTTCCATCTTTTCATAAACATTCAAGTAATTCTCTGTTACATTCTCCTAAAATAACTTAATTAAATGCAGATAAATTGCTCCTGAAAATTATCAACAGGAATCATTTCTGGAAGCATAAATAAGAACTGATGTTGACAATTGTTACTAAGATGTAATAAGACAGGCTGAAGGGTATGTAAGGATAACAAATGCATATTAACGGAACCAGTTTTACTCAAACATGGAGAAATATTTCCTCATTATATCATTCAGAAGATAGGATACTCAGAAGGAACTACAACAGGTTATTTTGATTTTAAGGAGACTACAAAAGAAATATGAAGGCAATATTTGGTTCCATGCTCAGGATTTATGAAACTATCACTTGGATTGAGTTCATCTAAGAATACAATTCCATAGATACTGAATTCACAGGATACCATGGGTTTTGGCTAATTGTGGCTTCGCTATATATCTGTACAAACTTAAAGACTGCATTTCCTTAACTGCATAGTTGCAAGGCAATTGTCGTTTGCTTTTAACTTATGTTGTCTGAAGATGGTATGGCAGTTTATTTCAGCTGATATAAAGTCAACAAGGCAAAAGTAACACAGTTTTCCTTCTTCCCTATTCAGACTGACAGCAATCTAGAAGCAAATCAGGGATGGATAATCTGAAATTGCATTATCTGTAAAAGAAGCCGTAAGTTGCACCCAGGTTACAACACCAATTAGAACCAGGACTGCTGTCACAAGTGATGTGGTCACAAAATCACGTGATTGTACCACTTAGCAACAGCAATTCTGTCAGTCCTGGCAACTATCAAAACCCCAGGACGGTGCAGGTCATTAAGCAGGAAGAAGCTGGAGTCCCACATAAGAGAGTGGGTGCCATAAGTGGGGAATGGGGAGCAGGCTGGCAATCATGATCACCTGACCACAGAGATTCTACTTTGGCCACAACTTTGTGTACCTACTGTAAGTCCCCCTTATACAGCACCATCACAATTTTGAATGGTTGCTCAATGAGGTTGCATGAGGATTATCTGTATATCTACATTGCTAAGCCATAACAGACCATTGTCGTTATCACCTGAATGTGATCACTTATAATCTTGATATTCTTCATCCCTTTCTAACTGACATTAGTAATCAAGTTCATGATATTCTTTTATTTACTTACAGTAAATAAAATACCAAATACCTCCCTTCGACCAGTCCGCTCCCACAGAGAGGGCCTCCTTAGGGTGCCGTCGGTCAGTCAATGCCGGCTGGCGACCCCCAGGGGGAGAGCCTTCTCTGTGGCAGCTCCTGCCCTCTGGAATGACCTACCCCCCGACCTACGTACAACTGCGGACCTGCGCCTTTTTCGCCGAGCCCTGAAAACCCATCTATTTTGTGCGGCCGGCCTGGCATAGTCTTAATTAGGTTTTAGTATAGGTTTTTATATGGGATATTTTAGAGCAGGCCTTTATTTATTTAATTTGATTTTAGAATAGATATTTATTGTGATTTTATTATCGCCTGTTCACCGCCCTGAGTCCCGTAAGGGAGATAGGGCGGTATACAAATCTAAATAAACATAAACAGTATATCTGAGGAGTCAACATGTATAAGCAGCTAATGTGAGATGATCAACTAAGATGGGACAATCTTATCAATATATCCTTATATCCTAAGAATCAATGTATCTCAAGAGCAGGAAAAATAAAGATATTGATTAAATAAAGATGCATTTTAAAATGTTTATTTTACAAAGCTATCATATTGTTCAACCTTTCCGCCCCTTAGTATTAAAAGAATCCTATAATAAAACACACTCAAATTTAAAAGATACTTTCTTATCCAATGGATGACCATTGTTGTCTGACTTAGTGTTTCACAGAAAATACTGGAGATGATTCCAACTAAAAATAATTTGGAAATATATCTTATACAAAAGATTTTTCTCTCTTTTTAGAAAGTGTAATATAATCACATAAACATAAAATTATAAAATATCAATATTAGAAGGGACCTTGCCAATTATTTAGACCAATCTCTCCTGCCCAAATGCTTAAATCCACAACTTTTAATAAGTGGTAGGGCAAAATTGAGGCAAGTTGAGGCTAATTTATGCTAACCGATAATGCACAAAAAAAAAATTGAACAGAAAAAGGATCAATAAAGGAGAATATGTGTAGCTCAGGATTGAAAGGAGGCTTCTTGGTGCTCTCTAAGGTTAGTTGTTTCTTGCAGCCATTTCGTTACCCCAAACTAGGTAACGTCATCAGTGCTAGAAAAAGGATCAAATATGAAGGGAGTGGAGAAGGGGAAAAGTAGGCAGAAGAAAGATCAAAGTAGAAAGTGGAGAATTCAGGCAGGGGGTGGCATAAGGAAAAAGATTCCGCAAAATTCCCCAATGTCTTCCCAGCTTGGAATGTTGCTAACCACTCCATTCAAAGGCCCTTTCCATTCTAATCATGTGAACCAGAGTTGAGTTGCTTTTGAGGGGTTGGACAAAAGTCTAAAAGCCATGCTTTTCCTACTTTTTGTCTCCAGTATTTCTCTTTCTACTCAATTTTCTTGTGATTTGTAATATGAATCTAGCTCTTTTTGAAGGAGTGATTTGGGTATGTATTCTCACATATGCAATAACAGTACCCATCTGATCCCTCATTCTAGATCTTCAGGCTAGTGCTCTACAGGGTTAAAACGAGAACCTTATTCTTCTGCAGGTGAGCTAGAATACCTGGCCGGAGTTTGTAAAAAGATGAATTAAATGGAAATATAATGCTGCTTGCAAGCAGCTTTGCTATTCTGCAGCCTATTATTTTTTATTTACGTTGCATTATCTCATAACCTAGCTTCAACTGTAAGAAGTATAGCAAACACTTTACATGTCATCAATGGATAATATGCAAAAGAACCAGATTCCATTTCTAAAGATACATATTACACTAAAAATGTTCATTTGTATTCTAGAATCACTTAAGTAGATCTTTCCAAAGTGAAACTTTTTTTTTTAAATAAGTCAATATCTGTTTTTTAGGTAATGTCCAGGGATCTCCATTCTAAAAACCCATGCAAAGCCCTCCCCACCAAAAATACAATGGTGATTTTATTAAAATAAGATAGCTAAAAGGTATTTAATAATTTTTCTTTTCTGTCAGTTTAAATAGTATCTCTAGCAAGTTTCTGAGAGATTTCGGGGACAGCAACTCACTCCTAACATAACAATCAATACTTAACTAGGTTACCTCAGGAAAAAAACTTGATAAAATGAAAATAAGGAGGAAGATATTTAAGTAGATCATATTTTTAGGTTTTAAATGAATTATTATCTATTCCACTCAATGTCTTCAAGTTGTGTAAAGATTTGGCAAATTTCTGCTTTTATTTCTGCTAATTTTACTTTACTTATGTTTAGACTCTATTATTAATAATTTCTAAAACAGCAAGATGTTCATT